TGTGTGTGTGTGTGTGTGTGTGTGTGTGTGTGTGTGTGTGTGTGTGTCTGTGTGTGTGTGTGTGTGTGTACATTATAATAACTACACACTATGTATAACTAAATTCTGGTAAGTAATCATCAAATCAGAGGGTGGGTATATATAACTATGTATATATTATACACGGGCCAACCAGATGACTCCACCTGATTAATGTAACACTAATTACTGTGTTTAGATGAATACTTTAGAAATATATTATAATTTTGTTTTTTTTATTTTTTTCCTTTCAGCTTTCTATAGTGCCGGGTCTTTAGAGGGATGTATTATCCACACTATGTTATTTAGTACAAGAAGAGGAAGGGAAAATACTGCCACACAAAATTGTTGTTACAAAATTGTGTACAAAATTATACACTTGAAATTAAGATGAATAATAGGATCTCTGATTATTGCTCACAAAAGCTATGTTACAAAGGAATTGAGAATATATTGATAATTTGGAAGGAATTGCTTCTATTTTCGTACACTCCTGGGCAGCAAAAGCTCGTATCTGTTACTAGGCCGAAATGAAGAGGTCATCACCGAGCAATAAATCTTAGGTCATTCGATGTCACAGGTTCGCTTTGTTATATTTTCTATTAAGAGTGTTTGTGTACTCGTTATGTTGTAAAGACATCATTAGAAGTTAAATGAAAGTCAGATGAATGATAATGATTATGAATGAACAAACAAACACCATCGCAAGTTTAAGAGCACCCACAGAGGAATCAGTAAAATGTAAAATGGTTTCCATATAAAGTATTACTGTAATGACTCATATACGATCTACTGTTTGACGCGGATCTCCACTACTAACCGGCCCCTTGTAGTGTTTACACACCAATGTACTTACTGGTCTCAATAAGTATAGGGAATCGAACCCAGGACATCCTCATCTGTGTCCTCACAGTGTTAACCGTTGGAACGCCAAGATTGTCGTTATATAGAAATTCATTCAATTTTGACGCCAATTAATAAAAAGGAAAGAAGTAAGGGAACAAATAGTGGAATACAAAGCGCTTCGCACAAACTGACAGTATCCCGTAGGATTGGATGCAGATTCAATTACATTGACAATCTTGGATGGACAGAATGACTAAAAAATGTATTAAGACAGGTCACTTGACGGATGTGAATTCGGTTGTTTAGTTGCAATTTTACAAAAACGATATTTACACAAACCGAAAATCGCATTAGTTACTTTGCAAAGAACTATAGATTTAGTATATGGGTACCTATATACTCAATCTATGCAAAGAACCTACTGAAACTTCTTTGGTATCAAGTTTTGCCTCCAGCGATCAAACATCCCGTCGCTCACATCCTACGGCAACATGACGTTGACGTGAATGATGTACAGTCAGATTTTTTTTAATGAAATGAATAGAATCATTCATTTAGAAATTATCGCTAATATTAATATTTAAGTAAATGATTTTTTTTCGTACAGTAAAATAAAATAAAAAGTATTTTGGGTTTATTTCTAATGCTGCAAGTGATAAATTTGCAGTAAATAATACGTAATAAAATTTTTCACACGTTAAGAAGCAACTTATATAAATTGATAATAGTTACGTATGCATAAATACATATACTCATTTTTAGTAGCAGTAGAGGTCATAAATCGTCATATCAGGTAATAAAAAAAACACTTTAGAATAATATAAGTGAAATGGTATTTAAAAAAAATCCTAACAGAATAACCTAACAGATAGTGCATTCAGACTTAAATGTATTAAATTTGCTATTTTTCCTAAGATTTATAGTATTTTCCACTGGTTATCCTTAACCCGTTCAAGAAAGTACGTAAAGAGTACCGCACACTAAAATGTTTTAAATACTGTTTTGTTTGTGCCGTAGTTTATATTGATCCAAACTGTTCAATGTATATCATTGTATTTATCAGTACGTTATTAATGTTAATATGTCTCTATGAAGAAGCAGTAGGCGACTAGACAGAGAAAGCACATGGAAAGCACACTGCAAAGCTCGAGGCACTTGGTTTTTTGAATAAATTATTTTATTACTCTCACATGGCTTTCATAGGACTAAAATACAGAGTTTTATTACTGTACTGTAATGCGCATTATGAGAATCTGGTGTCACTAAAAGAGTTTATCCCTGTATGACTAATCACCAGGCTCCCTCCCTTTAAGCTAAGGTTAATTACTCCTGTTACTTACAAAAAAATAGCTTTGCAGAAATTAAAAAGTTTTGAGATCCATATAGCGCAATGAAGCAACCCATATAATAGTACGTCGTTACTGTCCAAAAACGGGTTAACTAAATAAATAAATACAAATAGCAAAACCTAAAAAATAGTTTGCATTACAATATGCATGAAAGCGAAATAAACAGTGGCGTATCTTCGAACTCCCAAAGTCATTTTATCACCAACGTGCACCGGTGCTAAAAGCCTGGGATGAAATATTCCCAGCATATTGGCTTCCAATGTCAAGTTCAGATTCAGCCAATCGATACCTAGTGCGATTTTGCACTTGTCCACCTGTTACATAGCTAGCTATGTAGCATGAAGTGAATTCTCTTTGCGCATATATGAAATGAAATACACGAAATAGAATGTAATTGTTTTGGAATACAATGTGTGACATTGAAAAATTTTAGCATGAAATAAAATTACTATAGGTTTATTACAGTTTTTCATACATTTTTTGTACGATGGCCAATTTTTTTGTTGATGGACAAAATTTTTTTGTCAGCTTCATATCCCAAAGTATTAACTACCACAATATTTTCAGATTTTAATCCAGAAAACAAAAAACAATGGTTTTTTTCACATATGAAAATGTTCATGACACTATAAAAGACCTAAAGTCCTTTGTTCATTAGACTATCGTCCATAATTCCCTTTTCCTTGCTGTTGTAATACCCGGCAGTCGCTATAAGTGGATTCTGCTAATAATTAGTATTTGGTACTAATACACAACAAAGCAAATCACGATATTACAATATTTTAAAATTGCTGATATACATTTAAAAACACAAATTATTGTAAATAGTAAACTTTAACATTATCTACCTAACAATGCGTTTACAATTGCTGCAATAATGAGAACTGTGTTTGTTTGTATAAATTTTGAATTTTGAACAGTCGTTATTTATATGTATAGAAACAAAGAAAGTTCTTTGTCACATACCGCTTTACTTAACCACACTGAATACCTGTTGAATCTACTGACCTAGAAATAAATGAGTGGTTGCTAAAGTTTCATTTCCAACGGTTTTCATACTTTAAAACGTTTACGTTACACTAGTTCATAAAACCAATTAAAAGTTAAACAACGTTTTCAATTAGAAAGTGTTCATGTGCAGTTATAACACCTCACGTGCATAAAGTTATTTAAACATAAGGAAAGCTAGTTTAATTCACAACTAACGTATATGAGTGGGAAAAATATTCCAATATTTCATGCTTATAATATAGACAAATGAAAAACAACATCATTAAACCAAACCATAATCAGATATATTATCCTTCTTTACAAACGTTACAACGACACGAATACTACACTTTTAAAACCTCGTCTAATCTCATAACATTCCACGTTTCTTAATTTCGTACACGTGTAAGGTTTTTCCTTGTATCGAAGCAAATTTCAATATCAATTCTCGAATTACAGGAACACAAAATAGTTCAGCAGTCGTAAGAGCAAAACGAATAAACATTAAAATGGTGTTAATATAAATAACACATGTTATCGATTGATGATAAATCAACATTCAATTTACGGTTTCAAAATAATTACAAACCTTGAGACATGGTCTTATTTTCAACGTGGTATACTTGAAATACCTACCACGTAAAGCTTTGCTCTATTGTCATTATTTAAGCCTCAATATTTACTAGACTAAGCCGCTATTATATTTTAAAATCACATATTTATCACAAAACTACTTACACTTTTTAAAAAAGGACAAAAGATAGAAAATACGGCTAAATATAATAATGCGAATAAATATAAGACAATAGAATATTTAAATCACAAAATACATACACATTTTAAAAAAGGACATATATAAAATGTATAGTTTGAAGAAAATAGAATATTTAAGTAACGTAAGTCCTAAGTTTACACTCACTCGCGTTTAATTTTAAAAACCACACCAATATAATTTCCGGTTCAAGAAAAAAAAATTCGCGCACTTGAAAAAGCAAAAAATCCAGAAAATTAGTATCTCACCGCTTTTTCCCACCGAAGGTGCGCCTATGACAGCGACCTTCACCTCGCTGAGCGAGGATTTCTTGCGTCGTATGCCTCTACTCGTCATGGTTGCCGATATGCACTTTAGCTCATGGTCCGGCACAGTCACGGCACCGACTGACTGATGGCGGTCGAGAAGCAAGCGCGCGCAGTACAATACGGCAAACGCGGCACCGGAGGCGGTGTAGCGGCGGGCGGCACACGGCTAAAAATAAGCAGCGCGACAGCTCCCACAACTGCCAGTGTTAATGGGTCAAGAGCTGGCCAAGATCAGCGCGTGTTTATCAGTTTCCTGACCACGTGGCCGCCGCGACAGGCCAACGCCTCTACACTAGATTGAAACACATTTACAACTGATGTCGTTCAGACTCCAGGCCGCGTTTACACTATCCCAGTGTTTAGGAGAGATGGATTCATAAAATATTTTAATACGTTGGTATCTTAATTAAAAAATATACACATAACTCGTGTAACGTTTTATATAGAGACTTTTTTGTGAATGTTAATATCGATTTGTTTTGCATTTGTTATATTTGTACCCCTGAACTTTATACAATTATTATACTTGTTACTATATCATAGATTTCATTCATTATTATTACTAACTTGTAGTAGTAAATCTTATAAAACTTGTGTTTGAAAAATAGCTTTATTCGGTCTCGTAGCGAGCGCTGTCGATATCCTTGAGCTAGAACACTTCGTAGCCCTGGTGCAAATATAATATTATATTCTAGGGATTGAAATATTACTTAAGTTTAGATATTATTTTTATAAAATTATACGTTAGCAAACATCTTCTATTCAGTACGTACTTTACTTTTACTTTTAATGTAAACAGAATTATTGAGGCGTATCTACTTAAATGTTTGAATCTTATTCTAGTCATGAAAACATTGAAATCATGTTTTCGTACATACATACTGTACCTGGAAAATGTGTTGTACAAGGCCAGCGTCCTTCACCGGCATTATCTTAACACAGGACATGGAATAGACGGTTTCAAAACATCACTGTAGCTTCTATATACATTATATGTCTCAATCTGATTCTACGTTTAGTACAACATATACAAGGTGCATCAAAGTTTATTATCACGTTTTGTACTGAACTAGGAATGAATGACGTAAAATCCTCGTTACGAATGTACTTGCAACTATTATGTTATTATTTAACAATGAGTACAAACTAACGGCTCGTACGACTATAAAAAAAGTTAAAGTTGTATCTCTTTCACCCTTTTCCACAAAACCAAACATTGATTAAATTTATTTTGTGTCTTATTAGAATATAAAATGTAACAACAGCATACTATATCAAATAAATTATTACATATCTGACAAATTTTAAAATAGAAGGTATTGAACGATTGCTTTTAGACACTACGCCAGTGTTTTACTATTTTAGCACAAAATAGCCTATGGTTCTTAGATACTTAACATAACCTATAATATAATCTTTCTCTGTTAACTACAACTGATAAAGTACAAAAATATTGCCGGAAACTGTTCATTACAGAGTACATAGACACGCGGATACGTAAAAATTGGCCACTTAACGCAAACAGTAGTCAATTTCGCGGGAGAAATAAATATTTGTTAAAACATATGAACGACAGAGACGTTTTGATTGCTGCTCTAAACGCGGCTACAGTAATGAGCGAAATAATTTGCGATGTAAACCCATCTATACATTGGAAAACGGATTTAATTCCAAATTCCAATTGATTTGTTCTACTTAAATGATAATTGAAATCAAATCTTTTATTGTGCCCATTTTAATGCTATTGTCTTTGTGTTGAACCGTAGGCGGAATTTAAACGGAGTTACCCTTGTATAGAACACTACTTAGTAAAGTTTTTTACATAAATAAAATAATTACAATTAATTTTTAGACTGTAGTTTTATTCATTTTGTTACATTTGATTTTTATTATTTAACGCAGTTCTTAAACACAAGTAAGAATTACAATCTTTATTCTACAAAATAAATTGATTACTTTCAAATATAATCTTTGTTTTGTTTTTGTTTATTCATTTTAATTCACGATGCAAATACACATTATTTAGTACTAAATAAAGAAACACGCCGAAATGATAATTTCGTAACAAGGATGTTGGGAAATTTTCATTTCGGCATGTACAAACATAAAAAAATTACTTTTCCGCGGGAAGTTCGACGAAAATACTACTTATCGAAGAAGTTACACTGAAAAGCATTATCAAAATAATGCAATTATTATAAATTTTAAACATTTTTCCTTTCATTACAATGTACTACAACAATTAAGTAAATAGTACTTTATGCTATAATAATATATTATAGGGAATTAAACGATTTTTCGTATCTAAATCACGTATTTGTTTTATCAAACCATTTTCAAACAGTAATCAATCAAAATAGCTCTAAGCAGATTAAGAATAAAGGCTGCAAGCAACGATTTAGTCAAGTTTTCTAGTGACTACAACTGAACATTTTCTGTCAAATAAATTCTTAACCATTTTTTCTTTAGTGAGGGTCAAACGCAATACCTTGCTCCGAATTCATATCCGCGGTCAGTCAGGCTATATTGAGTGACTTGAAGGAGTAAGTTTGTAGAAGCGCTGCTGGTGCTGGTGGAGTTCTGTAGGATAATAGTAATGTAGCCTGGAGAGTAGTAGAAGTAGTCTCCGTAGCCTCCGCAGCCTCCATACATCTTACTTAGTAAGTTTAGTAGTTCAAAAGTTGGAAGTCTAGTTTTATAGGTATTTATTCAGGTTTAATAATAATATTATGATCTTTAAAATGTAAACGGTGTAAAATATAACTAGTAAAAGCATTGACTTACAATTATATGGACGTCGGGTCCGCGCTAAAAAGTGTCCGCACTTGTAAGGCGCTAAAATCGTATACAGAGCGCCAAACTCCGCTTTAGTCTTCATTTGTTCGACTGACAGCGCGATACTGCGATGACATTACAATTTAAATTTCGAATAGGTTGACTTGGGACATTTTTTTCGTGGTTTTTGTATTAGACCCGTCGTCCATTTATTTGTAAGTCAATGAGTAAAAGGTTCAAAAGATAGGATGAGATGTGTTCGCTATCGCGCTCGGGCAGGGAGTGACGATGGAACGAAACAAAATCAGAATGCGAGGCAAAATGACACAATTCAAAATTTGAATTTAAATACAAGTGTGAGAATAGAATAAGAAATTTAAATAAAAAGGTGGGATGACGATGCAAAGAGGTCACACCGTCACAAGTTAAAACAAAAAAAAAACAGAAAGCGTTTATTATAATCATTGACTTACAATTATATGGACGTCGGGACCGCGCTAAAAAGTGTCCGCACTTGTAAGGCGCTAAAATCGTATACAGAGCGCGACACTCCGCTTTAGTCTTCATTTGTTCTACGGACAGCGCGATACTGCGATGACATAACAATTTAAATTTCGAATAGGTTGGCTTGGGACATTTTTTTCGTGGTTTTTGTATTAGACCCGTCGTCCATTTATTTGTAAGTCAATGATTATAATACATATAATAATTACAGTATCCGGTGTGGGGGCTACTTGTAAGTAAAAATTAGTTGTGTTAGAAAACCCGCTCTTCCAGTTACATTGTCCGTAAATAAGGAAATTAAAATTAAATGGCATAATATAATATATCACGGAAACTTAAAGAATATCTTCATGTGCATGTGCTGCGTGTACGTGTGTGTGTGTGTGCGTGTGTGGTAATATATAAGTATTATTTTGCAGTGGTTTCATAACTGCAGTCGTGCGGGCTTTTTGAGTCACTTTTCCCGCCAGGTTTCACGCCTTCTCACAATAAAACACACAACAAGTCCGACACAAATGTTTATACTATCATAAAATGTTCTAAGCAAAAGATCTAATATAAAATTAAAAACAAACTCAAACTAAACGTTCACATTATACTTGTATCTAAGTTCAAGAAGCAAAAAGGAAATATTTACGTATCTATGTATTATAAGAATCCATGAAGAGACACATATCGTCCCCTGGGAATACCTTGTATGCGAATTCTATGTAATTTTTCTGGACGAAAAGAAAAATTTGGTGTAAAGTGTAGTAAACGCCATAATGTTTGAAGTTTTAATTTAAAGCGTTTTAATTAGTACCTCTTTTAGATTCTGTATTACTTTAATAATAGATTTGAGCAAGAAGTTTAAAGTTAAAGTTTTTCTTCAACAAAAATCAGTAAGAATGAACGATGTGAAATAAAATATTGAATTTAAACTTCATAATTTAATCCACTAGCGAAAAGTTACCTGTTTGTCGGTCTTTTACAGAATATACTTCGGTGAGTGTGCCATTAGTTAAAACTATAAAGTAATATAAAGTCCGGTTGTGTCCGTTATGGACGGACTCATATTTTATTAAATTTTATGGTGTAAAAAAATGAATCAATGTAAACTAAACAAATTTGCTTTTTCTTTACGGTATTAACTGGACTTATGCTTTTTTATATACAGCATATGAAAAAATAACATGTATAACTTAATTAAGATTACAAATCACAACTAAAACTAAGTAGTTAACAGAAATACAACTAAAGATTATTTTGATGCCAGAATTTTATGATTATTGTACCCTTTTCCACAGAGATGTCTTAAATCTGTTTGCACTAATCGATGCGCTATTTTTTCTGATATTTTTGGTATAAAAATCCAAGTCAATGTGGCCAAAATCAGACTTGTACCCTTTTTCACTAGAGCCACAAATATATTCTTTTATAATATATTGAATACATGAAGGAAAATATTAAATATGTTTTATAATATTGTGAAGGAGAAACTTTTCAAGAGATCGTCCTTGTTTACCTGACCATCCGATGCTTCTGAGAATGATGGCTGCACTATTATCGACCGGCGGCGTGTGAACTTGACTCTCAAATTTGTATAGGCGGCATTCTATCTAAAGGGGTGATTTTCTCGATACAAACGTTAAAATATTGGTTGAAAATTTGAATTATGATATTTCTTTCTAAGTGCAATATTTTAGGTAGGTACTAGATGGTATGACAGGAGTTTTTAATTACATTATCATATTATGTACTTCTATATTCACTAATAATCTCAGTACAGAGTACTAAATAAACCGACCTCAAAAGTACGTGGAATTCCGTCTATTTGCCAAGTTTTATTGAAATATCCCCTAGTTCGCCACTACACAGGACTTGACACTGGAGAT